GTTTATTTGCGTAAGCATTATTAGTAATATCTATATTTAATTAAGGTATATTTAATCTTCAAGAGTGCTTCTATAAAGATATAATGTTCAAAATTTGCTTCAAGCAAGATTATATAAATCATATCGTAAGACCGACACGTGAATTATCATATTGTTAATAAAACATTATATTGATAGCGATCCGTTTAATTTTCAGAAATTGATAACTACCATTTGTGACAACTACCATTTGTCAATTTCAGGTTGTCAATTAAAAGATAAATATCTTGGTCATCATTTCATCTATTGAAAATAATATTTTACAAAACTCATATCAAGAATGTTTATATTTTGGATTCTATGAATGATGATTGATGACTGCTAATACTCGATATAAATAATAGAAAATCATGTGAGGGTTGGTGTATATCTGATAGAAGATGAGTCCCATCTAGGTCGCAGTCGCCGGTCGCGGAATGCATAGGGTTGCCATATTCAGTCAGGGTTTTGTCGGGACGTTCTAGGTTTGTGAAGGAAAAATACCTACACATTTTTAAGGAAAGTAATCTTATCTTCATTTTCTAATCAGTTGTAGAAGCACTTGTATGGGAATTTAGTTTTTAGCAATACCCTTCAATGTAGCGGTAGAATTCTGTGCAAGTCATATTATAGTTTACTTGACACGGTAAAATTGACTCCACAATATCTGGAAGCAGTTGAAGCGTAACTCGATAATGATGACAGATGGCAACCCTAGAAATGCATAGTATTTTCAATTTATCATGGTATAACTGTCGACTTTTGACACGTCAGAAACTCCGTTGCGTACTAACGCATATTTCCATGAGACGCTGACGGATCTTTCGTCAGATTTTCACCGACTCTAAGTATCTATTCTTAAAGTACCTACTGTAAAATCCTCTCGGCTGTTGTAGTTAAAGAAACATAAGAAATAAGTTGGCTTTTAAAGAGACGCTTTTAAATGCAGATCGAGAAATATAGATACAATAGGATTTTCTCGTACCATTTAGCAAATTGCAGTGGAATAAGTATGATAATTTTCTCGTATTTATTACACAAACATTACCCACGTCTGTATAAGCAAAATATTGTGTAGTAGAATACTTACATAACGGTGTAGTGAAATCTGTGCGTCTGGAATATTTAAAGTAAGGTAATTTCTAATAGTTAATAGTTATAATATCAGTTTATTTTTAATTATAATATTTGTTTCAAAGTTAAATCATCGAGTCTAGAAAAAATAAAATCATAAGAGTATCTTGTCATTGTATATATCTATACCACTTTAAGTGCTAAATGTTCTTAGTTCTAATCATCTTAAGCATATTCTTATATCTAATAATCCCTATCAACATATTTCTATACTAATCGGAAAGATTACAACTATAATTATAAGGTATACTACAAAACTGAGATTGTTTCAAATCATTTAGAAGTATAGTATTTTGACGAAACAAAAATATTATAACAGTAAAATAATGATAAATTATAGAAATCCAAAAACACAACATCTCGTTTATGATTAAAATCTTGTGTTATAATTAGGTGAGAGAAGAAGTATCACAAGATATAGGCAATACTGAACTTATTTTATCCCAGATATCATTAAAACTTCGTTTTGAAGTAGGTTTTATTAGATAGACTTTCTTAATATCGAAGGCCCGATAATAATTTATCCTACCGACGACGACTTTATCAAGTTCGTTGTATTTATTTATTCCATAAATTTTATGTTGATTACAATTTATTTCAGTACGCTTGATATCTAGCGAATGAATCTTCTGTGCCATTTTCAGTGAATAAATATTTGAATTGAAACGACAGTTACAACTAAAAGTGTATGATTCGTGAATAACCAGTGCATACAGGAAAAACGTTTATCTTATGAAATCACATCGTGAACATCTCATTGTAACTTTCCACGTTACGCATAATTCCATGAAAGACCAAGTAAATATGGGCATTCTATTTGTAGTAATTTTAAACATAATGTCACAATAGCCTGTCCGTTATTCTAAGAACATACACAAAGGATAATGTAGCCTTTATGAGGACAATAAAAGTCTAAGACGTTCACTAAAGAAGGCAACGTAATAATTAGCAGTTACGTTTACGAATGGAAAATTTGAGACACATTCAATGTACATGTAAACTTATAATTTTAAAAGTTTCTAAATGATCGTTTTTTTATGAGAAAATATCTCTCCCTCTCTTCATCTTTAGAATACACATTGAAATATTTTAAAATTTATTTTCAAATAATTTTACTGACTAAAGCAATGTATTGAGAAGGTAAACATAATTCCACCCATATATCTCTTACAGTCATGTTCCATATAAAAAAGCAATATAGAATGAACGCCAAGTTCAAAGAAGGCAAGTAATAAATATTTATTTTGTATTAAAATAGCACGGTTCTATAAATAACATTTTATAAAAACATCACTTTTTCAAATAAAAAATAAGAATGTTTTATGTAAACTTGTTCGCAAATACAATTTAATCACTTTTTAGATTCTTCGTCTGCACAAAGTAGCTCAATACTATTTATTCACTTAGGAATTTTACGTAAGTCACCTCGTAAAGGGTAAAGAAAATAACTTTCAAAGGCACAAAAATGGAATCAAACCCAAAAATTACAATTCAGCAGCTTCGACAATGCTATGATCGTATTCAGACTTACGACCTCAAATTAAACTTTGAAATGTAAGAATTACATGAAATCAAGGAGAAAGGATGTTAATCTTTTGTTGTATACTCGACAATATACTCGCTTTACTACAAACGTTTAAATATTTCCACTAGATCTTAAGCTTCACTCTGTTTTACTACGGTTTCTATTACAAAATTCCATTAAGAAAACTTTGAGTAGTCACTTAGATTATATTATTGTAAATTCTGTCTAATCTTTTAAGAATCACTGCAAATGGAACGTAACGTCAATAGTCTCACTGAAGTATGTGTTAGTACGCAACGGATAATCCGTAGAGTCCACAATACAAGGTTGAATGTAATGTTTAGACGTTCTAGGAGACAACGCATCTTCCTATAAAATATTTATCTATACTAAAGTTATAAAGAGATAAAGTTTCTAAATTTCTTTGTTTCTTTGTAGGGGCATTACGGATCCGATCATGGAAAATCTTTTACCTACGAGAAGATACATCATAGGTAGGAGACATAGGCCTTGATTTACGTAGGCGGAATCTAGCGAAAACATCTAATATAGATATGAAACTCAACATTATATTCTAAAGTATGCTTTAGTTTGACTTTTGACAGATCTTCTGTTGCCAAACATAACATTTATTAAAGGGCACAAATTGAGGAATCTAATGCTGTGACAAAAAGAAACGTGATTAAACTCAATGAGAGGACGATGTTTTTGATATAAAATTTAAGTAAATGCCATCAGTCTGCTTTCAAATCAAAATAAACACGTATTACTGAAGATGGTTTGGGTTCTAACATCAAACTTGTTTATTATGTTTCTGTCGTCAACACATTCCACGTTTAATTGAAAATGTAATAGCACAGAATATCTTTGCATTCTTAGTTGTTGTTCTTAGTTGTAAACTTACTTAACCAAAAATAATGAAACATTGAACTTTGCTCTTTCTAAACACAGCTTAGGGAACTTAGTGTTTAATTAATCTAAGGGAAATGCAATCCTTTTACTTGATTCCATTCATAAGGTAACGCGTGTGGTTAAGTGGTGAGACTTTTATGATTACACTTATAACGAATGATATGATATTTTATCACGCTCTTGGTTGGTAAAATCAGTATAACAGTTCTTAGTACAACAATGGCGTTAAACTTAACTTATAAACTGTTTACAACAGTACATTTGAGAATGAAAATCTATGACCGACTGACGTTCCAGTTTTACTTGTCTGTCATCATGCGTATATAAGAAGTATATGTCTTATATTCCACAGAAGAGCTACCTTGAATGTTCAATTGTCTGTCGAAAGAGAAATTGAAAAACTAGATACAAAACCTACTTTTTGTAAAGTAGGTCAAATGTTACTTTCCCCTGAATATTTACAGTTAGTCGAGTGCAAAGGATATAATATATTCTTTCAGTAGAATGCAAACTTGACCTAGATAAAATGACATTACGTGGAAATGCAATTCCTACAGAATTCTGGTGAAAACGGTAGTTTTAAACAAATAGAATATAGAGTATGTCAATTGAATAACACACAATGTAAATGATTAAAGTTTAATATGGTAAAACAGGAAAAAGAGTGCGTTATTAAAGATAATATAAAAATCACGATTTTGATTGATATTTTTGATGACGACTGGCTGGAATATAGCAACCATTGTTTATAGTTTTAAATATGTTGTTCTTAGTGTCATTGTCGTTTTTCTTGAGTTTGGTATTGTAATTTGCTCTTATATAATCAATGAATTCTTTGTGATTCGTATCTCATATTTACTAGTTTCAATTACCATCCACGATCTCCATAGTTATCAATTTGTTTATTTGCAAAAGGTGCATACTTTACCTACTTACTTTTGATTCCTATACTGTCTATATATAGGTAGATATCGATTTGAAATAAAGCTCTAGTGATTTAACCTTAAAAGACAAAGCGTTCGTTTACTGGCATTTACAACGATAATAGTTTAACATGTTCCGTTACATACAGTTTACTCGTTAAGTAATGGAGGAATACCCACTTTGAAATTCCAAGTTCTAAAAACCTACTATAACAATAAATTTCAAATATCTTCATACTATTAACTGACCAATAAAATATAAATATAACTCAAAAATGTTTTAGTTGGTGTTTCATCACTCAAACTTTAAAGAAAATAGTGGGATCTTCTTCTTCTTCTTAACAAATTCTGTAATGTAGAACACATTACAGAATTTGTTAAGTGATGATTTTTCATAAAAATAATAAAAACATAAGGTCTTTAGGCGTACAAAGGTATACTATAATTAACTGAAACATCAAAACGTACACTAGTTGCACCGCACTCACCTTGAGCGAAGCCATATCGGAGACAGATCGGTGAGTTTGTATGGTCTCCAACTGGTCGAGACACCAGTCTAACTCTTCGACAGTCTCCAGTGCCATCTTCATATAAGCTTCGTCTGTAACAAAAAAAAAAAAAACTAAGTAAATGTATTCGACACTCATAGTTAGCTACGTTTTATTTACAGAATAAAGTGTATACCATGTTTGATGCAATTTATTAGTGTACTCGCTGTTTTCCCGCGACTTTGCCCGCTTATATCATCTGTGTATAATGTAGCTTTCAGGTAATATAAAACTACCTGATAAACTAAAGCGAGTTAAAGAATAAGTATGCCTGAACTGCTTTAGTTAACGAAAATATTTAATAATCTACCATAGTATCGAAACACTACCCATTAGTACAAGAACTATCCCTGCTTCTGTTTGCGTCACCAGGTTATTTATTAAAGAATGGGGAATTAAGTAAAGTTGATTAAAGCGCATGGTGATAGAATGAATAGATGTAATTATTTACTATTTAGATGACAAGAGAATCATGTAAATGTTAAAAAATGCCAAATAAACTAAAAAAAAAAACATGCAATAAAAATGACATAATATTAAACATGACTTACTCTAAGTGGTATCTATTCTGAATCATCATATATCATGCTAATAGCCAACGAGCGAGTAAATTCGTAACAAATGGCATAGTAGCAGTCTGAACCATATTTCCTTTCGGGGTTTCGGGCCGGCTTCTATTACAAATCATTCATAGACCCAAATAAAGTATACCTACGTAGTCACGTACTGGATTGAAGGCCTTATACCGAATAAAAAGAGGTAGATCAAATGGAATACAGAGCACTACTTTTTAGTAAGCCGTTTAGTAACAGAATAAGAGAGTAAAATGTTAACGTTTGATCCCAGATACATCGACGAACTTTAAGCTTTATCATGTAGCTCGTATCGTATTAGTTCACTGTGATAATGATTTTTTAACAGTAGAGATGGACAGGCAGACCGCAAAGATAGGCTACATTTATGTACAGAGTTAAGATTATTTTAGATATAGCCTCATTTAAACTAAAATATTAAATTTAAATACCTAAAGTTGTTATATGTGTTCCGGTAATTCTACCAATATTATTTGGTATGCAATATAGTTTACAAAACTTTTTTTAATAATTTACTTTATTCTCTAAACGAGACCTCATGATTAAGATACATTCATTTGCGTTACCTTTGGGTCAACGAGCTTTTATTTAAATAACCCAGGATCCTCAAGGAGAGCTATGGACCTAATCTTACTTTGGGACCCCAGTGAGGCCCTCTGGGTCACCGACCTACATACGTGTACCAAATTTAAATTTAACCAGAGTAACACCCGGTTTCTGAATTGAAAATTTAAAGTTAAGTCTCAAACCGTAATAAAACCAGCTTAAACGTCACATGAACAGGTTTTCGTTACCGGTTTTAATTTTTTATTAATATGAATTGATAGCAGTTTGATAAAACTAGGTCTTTTTGCTATATGAAATGAAAAAAAAACATAAAGGAGGAATATCAAAAAATGATAAAAGGAACCTAAAGATGATTTTAAAATACCCATTCAACGACACCCCACTTGACATAGTTCTTCGGTTTTTATTTTTTTCATTTAGTCAATATGGCGTCTGGTTGTCGCTGTGGTGAATTTTGATTACTGTCATGTCTTTAGTGACACTCGCAAGATTAAAACCAATCGATTGACGTAAGAATCATCAAAATCGGCCTACGCATTTGGTCTCTAGAACGCCACATAGAAACAAACATACGTACATAGACTGATAAACACTTTACCCTCCTTTGCGTCGCGCAGTCGGGTAAAAACTTAAGTTATTCAGAATAATCAGTTGAGATTCTGTAATCAGTTGAGATTATGTAATCAGTTGAGATTATGTAATCAGATGAGTTTCTCAATTCAGAAACCGGCTGAAAATCAGCTATCAGAGATTGAAGGACAGGTTGACCAACATATAAATAGACAGAGACACGATGGTTCTATACATTTTCTGTAATTTCGAAGTCCTGAAAAAAACTGGGGTAAAACATCGTGCGGAAAATATCCAAATCCTTTTCTTAAGGTAAAAATCTTTTGTTTTACCTGTATCTAATAAGCTACCCGGGAGGATATCAAGGAATAATCCTCAAGGAATTGGCTTGTCTACGCTGCACATTGAAAGTGATTTTCAACTTTCAAGGGTGACGTGTGTCTGGATAAGCAAAATAAGCCATTTTCTAATTTATTTACGCTTCCTCTCTTTTTAGTCGTCTTTATTTCATCTACCTTTATCTATCAATAGCCTTCCTTTGTGATATCCTCGGGAATTTTACTAAGCAACGTAATGAAATAACAAAATTTTTATGTAGGTATCTATTTACCAACAGTATTTGTAGTTGTTTGTGAAAAAAAAATGTTCTTAATATTTATTAAACCCAAAAAATACTGTAAAGAGAATTCACAATGGAAATAAATGTTACAGAAAAAATAAATTTACATTTTGAAAATCTTAGTACTTGTACTTGTGAAAGTTTCTCGAAATGTCGAGTTTTTATTCGGAGAAAAAGAAAAATTGCAAACTGCAATAAAAATACGAAACGAACGAAATTGAAAATGTAATTATTCTTTTCGATAAATAATATTGATTTGAAATAAAAAATACTACTTTTGATTCGTTTCATAAATAATAAAGTCTGTTAAACTTTAATATAATATTTTCTATAATACTAGTGAATTAATTTTGATGGAACTTGTGGTGTTCCTTAATACTTACTGTTTAGTAAAAAAAAACATCGTTTGATATAATGACATTACTATTGGGCTTCCCTATGAATGGAATAAAGTGCCCTGACCACAGAACGGGCCATAAACCACCACAAGTGCCCTGTGAGGTTTTTTGGATGCAATTACTGTAGATGCAGCCGAGACTAGAGACAGGTATTTTTTTTTGGTCAGAAATCCCATGACATGCCTTTCGAAAGTCGCTTAATCTCCGCGTCGCAAATCGAACGCGTTGAACACTACGATATCGAGAAGTCTTCGGGTGAAATGTTACTGGTTTGATATCCGTAAAGAACACCTGACACGATAGTATATCTAAAATATTTGCCATAGGGATGACGACTACATTTTTTTGTTTTTTCGTCAGATGGATTGTTGAAGAATAACTTAAATTTAACACGAATTTTTATTTTTTGGCCCATTAATTAAATTACGACTATACTTTGAGTTAAAATGACACATGTCGTCACGCTTTATTTAATTTTCTACAAAACTGTGACGTAACGAGCCCCATTCTTCAACTTTAATGAATCTATCCAAGCTATTTTTTGTTAAAATGAAGTTAAAAATACGTATCTAATATTTTTCTATTATCTGACTGACGGACTAAATATTTCTTTTCTTTTCAGAATTTCCTTTTTTACAGATTCTTTTTTTAACGATTACATTACAAAATGAAAACTGATTGTTATCAATACAATATTACACATGTGTATTCATTCGTAACATGTATACAAAACGAAAGACAGGAAATAAATTTACATTTAAGTACGCCAATTTTTCATTTTAATTGATTGAGCTAACGCTTTGTGTAACAATTTGTACACACATCACGCAGAATCAAATATTGGAAAACGGATTTTTCACAACGTTTGAACCCCCTCTTTTATCTATTTGTATATTACATCATTATTTAACATTAGGAATTTATATCTATGTTGTTATTTAATATTAGAAATCAATGTGACTTTATGCCTCCAATTCAAAATTTAGAGTTATTGAGTGCAATTATTTAGTTTAAAGTATCTGTGCAGTGACGTACGAAGTAGCTTTTCAGGTCAATTACATGTCTTCGAAAGAAAAAAGAATTGTAAACAAATGCTATCCGGTTAAATAGATTTAAATAACCAATCACATTCTCATGTTTCCCTAGTCTTATAGATTACAGTCTCGTGTGGTGACACTATAACCTTTTCAAGATTAAATATTGTTATTTAAATATAACACGGGAGCCGTACGTGATAACGTGCGTCATTTCGAAATTTTCTTCAGATAATTCTCAAGTTGTTACACCCTCTGACCCATGGTAGAGCAAATAACTGTATTATGATTCTGTTATAACACTAGACAAGATTAAATTGGTGATAACAATAATCTGCAAATATCACGAAAGCCTAATCATTCATGTTCCAGCGTTGGCAACAATGTACAATAAAAAACATGATTGTTGAAATCTAAAAATAGTGTTATTTAAGACTATTTGTGTAACCGTATCTCGTTTGTCGATCTTGACGTCTGTTTGCTAGTAATTGTTCAATTGCTGGATTAGAGAAAAATGGAATTTTTTTTGATATTGTGCGCTCTCGAAGGGCGAAATATCAATCTTATATGGTGGGAGAGGTTAATGTTAAAACTTCCAGTGACTACGATTAATTTTAAAAGCGCTGCATAGTTACAAAGTACCTCGGCAACAAATATAAACATATTTGTTGCCGAGGTACTTTGTAGAAAATAATTTAGATAATAATTTCTATCGAGAAAAAATTTAAAATTCTCTTCGAAATAACGTCTTCTTATTAAATAAAATTACGTAAATGGTTTTATCGCCTGTAAATCGGATTATTAGTATTTTTTTTTTGTTTTTAATTGTTAGTTATTTGAACGTTCTTTACACAAAATGAGTTGAAAGATAGACAAATTTAACTGTTCCAAGCATCTTCAGGCAGACTTTTTCTCCTATGACCTTCTTCTAACTGTTTTGCACGTAATATATTGTTGTTATATTACATTGTCACAAATACTGCTAACGAAAATATAACTCAAAGTTATGCTATGTGAAATAATGAATGATTTTGAGTTACTCTTTGAGCGTCAATTAAACAAAAATAAAAATTTATTTTCCCCTCTGCAAAAATATATCATTTGTAACCATTCTCTTGACTCAGGGTTGTAACCTTGATGTTGAAGTATTTAGAGCAACCTGATTCTGTAACGAAGTCCACTTAGTTTTTGTGTGTTTATTAACATTGATTTTTAAATGAGTACGCATAAAGAAGCAGCTTAAAAGTGAAAAAACAAAAAAAAAAAATCTTT